AGAGGGAAAAGTAGAGAGGAAACCGGACCAGAAGGTCACAACAGGAAGAGGAATCCTCATTTCAACCTAGATCTAAATACATTCTTATTGTTCAACATAGCGTCCAATAGTGTTATAAAAACCTCGGAGACTTCCAGTAACATATCTTTAATCATTTTTTAAGATACAACAGTTCAAAGTTTAATCAAACAATTAGGCAATTTTGCCGTTACACGATTTGGACAATTTTGTTGTTACACCCAGTATATATTAGAATGTACATGTTTTTAAATTTTGTCTGGTGATATAAATAATTTGGCACAGATATAACTCAATCAAAAACATACGGAGAGACGTCTCTATATCTCACCTGAAAATGCTTTGTTTGGTATACGTTGCCGCAAGTCACATAAATGAATTCCGACCAGCCAGTTTTACTGATGCGACATGTGACTTATTCTAGGTTATATGGAGCACACGTTCGTTTGGAAATTGTTACTCGTTTCTCTATTGTATTGCATTTACACCGGAACGGACGTCCAAACAATTCCAGCTTGGAGACAGAAGACCCGTGTTCAATAGAGTATCACTGTGCTGCATTAAACGTGACAGATTCTAGCACGATCCACTTTCAACTACGCAGACACAAAGACAAGAATTTCGACTGTAAACATGTGTACTATTCGGCAATTATACTTACCTAAAAACTAGCTCGTTCCTCATATGTTCTCTTCGTGGTATTTTCAGCATCTATCTGTAGAACCACATCCCTGTCGCTTCCAGTTTCTTCATCACCTGGCAGGAGGTTATTCCGTATTTCGTATCATATAGAAGATTATACGGAGTGTAACAGCAAAATTGTCCAAATCGTGTAACAGCAAAATTATCTCAGTTTTAGATTAAGCTCTCAACCGTTGTAGCTTAGAAATGATTAAAGATATGTTACTGGAATTATCCGAGGTTTTTATAACACTATTGGACTCTATGTTGAACAATAAGAATGTATTTAGATCTTTTTTTTTTAAGCATTTCAAGCAAGGCGGGAAGCCACTAGTACGCAAGGGGTTACAGAGGATTTGGAACGAGAGCAGATAGGAGTGATAGAGGAAAGGATGAGGAGAAGGATAGTGGCAAGGCAACTGGAGATTACATTTGAATAGTTGGAGATTAAAGCTATCAGGGAAACAAGAGTAGGGAAGGGAGTTCCACAGGCGAGAGGTGCGAGACATGAAGCTATTGGACTCTTCCTGTTGTGACCTCCTGATTCGGTTTTCGTCTCTGACTTTCCCTCTTTTTAGAACTTATTTACTGTTTTCTTGAATGAACTTTGAAGATGGAAGCCAGAGTATTAATTTTGGTACCATTATTAACGGTCTGAATGATCTTTTCCCTCTCACCATTGCTCAGTTAGGAAGACATAGTGGGGCTGATACAAAACAATTTAACCTGTTCTCTTTCTAGCTGAATAACTTCAAGGGTTTTTCAGTGATTCTTACGACAAATAGAGTCAAGATGGCTAAAAGTCTTATCCGAAAACCTGGAAAAAACAAACAAAATTAGTTTAGTTGTTTCTTTTTTTTAGATATTAATCATTTTGTGGGATGGACAATTATCGCATGCAGTCACACGATTTGGACAATTTTGCTATTATTACCCTGTATACAGAGTGATTGAGCAGTTGCCATGGAAATATTTGTAGAAAAGACAGAGGGAAGCCACGTCACGTCGCTGAGAAAGTCACTGAAGTCGAGATGCTAATTCAGGATCAATTACATTACAGATCCTTCTTTGGATTTTGTCAAAAAACACGAGATGAATAACGGAAGCACTAGACCAGATATGGCGTCAGTATAGTAATTATGTTCACACAAACATGTATATCCACAAAAGCTGAGTATCATCTACCATTTATTCAATTGTGAAAGCAGAATAACATATATCATATTTTTATTACTTCAAAGCTCCCAAGAAAATTAACTTTCGGCATTAAATGATCCATAAAGAGTTGATATGCCGTTAAACAAACCAATCAATCATATCAGCAAACATTATTTTCAATGCCATAGCCATTCCGTAAAAAGGTACTCGTGGCTTTAGACAGCCTTTTTTTTTAAAAATTTGCGTAGATTGCCATTTCTTCGGAAATATAATTGACTTTGATACCATTTATTTCCCTTGGGAGGCGAGAGAGCCTTGTCTACCCTTTTACTTAACTCGTAGCTCATTTGAATGAACAATATCTTAATTTTGTCAGTAAAATAAGAAATTTCTTCTACTTAGACTGCTTTAGAGATGAAGGATTTTCAACTTCCAAAACAAATGGTAATAACCCATAGGTGACAGGTTCCAAGCCGTCATTCTTCCTCTACATGTGAAGGACCTGTTGGCTATTTGCTGGTTACAACAAGAGAACTTTTAAAGCATGTAGCCAATTGTAACAAGTTTGATGAATCACTGAATTGAACCAGATTGGCAAGATGTCTTCATGGATATGCTTGGAAATGTCAAAACAGATTTGACACATTTTAAAATTAATGTAGTCAGACGAATGAAAAGTATATTTCCAACTGTGAATAAAATATTTCTTTCCCTTTCTTCATCTTCTATGTGCCACGTCCGTGCGGTCATGGCTCTCCACAACATTCTATCTTGTGTGGTTCTTAGCAGCTTTTCTCTCTTTGTTAGACTTTCACATGGATGTCATGCTATAAAAGTTCTCTTGTTGTAACCAGCCTTCAGTTAAGCTCGTCAGATAACTGACTTATTGCATTCCTCTATCTCTCTTTCCTTCAATATGCACCGTAAGTGCTCCTTCCTCATAATGTGTCCAAGGAATTTCAGCTGCCTTTTCCGGTTTTTGTATATAAGTGTTCTTTCCGTTGCCATTTTATTTAAGAGTTCCTGGTTGTTTCCTCGCTACGTCCATGGAAATTTCCGTATCCTTCTGTTGTAACGAATATTTCTGATGCATCTAGTTTTCTCCCCATCCGTAGCGAGATTTCCCAGCATTCACTGCTATATAAAACGATGGATAACTCATAGCAATTTTGTTTATTTCTCAGCATCTTGTTCAACTTTTGGTTGGATGATATGGGTTTGGATTGGTTTCTCTTGTTTTACGGCTTCTCAAACTCAATGCCGACCATATTTTTATTGCTGGCAATATTTTTTCCTTCAAAAATGTATTGCTGGTATTATTTATTTACGTAAAAAATATATTGCTAGTAATAGTAATTTACAAAAAATGTATACCAGGTAATATTTGTTTTTCAAAAATGTATTGCTGCTATTATTTATTTAAGTCAAAAATATATTGCTGGTAATAGTTATTTACAAAAAATGTATACTTGGTAATATTTTTTCCTTCAAAAATGTATTGCTGGTAATATTTATTTAAGTCAAAAATATATTGCTGGTAATAGTTATTTACAAAAAATGTATACTTGGTAATATTTTTTCCTTCAAAAATGTATTGCTGGTAATAATTTTTCCTCAAAATATTTGTTGCTGGTACTAAAGCCTATTTTTACACTTTTATAGTGTTTTGAGCCCAGTTTGGGGGTTAATTATTTACCCATAGTTGGGACCCTATCAGGTGCTACCTCCCCGGGTCAGGGTGGACCTAGGAACACGAGCAATTAAAAGGTGATTCCTCGTTCATCAAAACCTCCTGATCAGAGGCCTCGCTGTCAAATGTAGTTCATCGACTTACTCAGGACGCAGTTGTAGTTTATCGTCTTACCCAGGACGCGGATGTAGTTTATCGTCTTACCCAGGACGCGGATGTAGTTTATCGTCTTACTCAGGAAGCGGATGTAGCTTATCGTCTTACCCAGGAGGCGGATGTAGTCTATCTTCTTACCCAGGACGCAGCTGTAGTTTATCGTCATACCCAGGACGCTGTTGTAGTTTATCGTCATACCCAGGACGCAGCTGTAGTTTATCGTCATACCCAAGAGGTTGATGATTTTGTTTAGCGGCATATCGACCCCACATGAGTTATTTAATGCCGAAATCTGCATATGTTTTACGTACTTTTATGCTATCAGCTACGGATATTTTGTACATAATAAATACTTTCAGGATAAAGTTACGTTCTCTTTTAGTTATATAGTTTGTAAAATGTACTGTTGGTAATTTTATAAAAATGTATTTCATATTTCTAAGTGCAGCAATAGTTTTTTTTATAGCAAAATGATAAGATTATCATTTTGCTATAAAACCTATTGTTGCTATTTTATTATAAAAATGTACTGTTGGTTTTTGCTTGGTGTGAGTGGGCCACTATTTGCTCAGAGCTGTGACCCTAACAGGTGCTACCACTCGGGGTCAGGGTTAACAGCAATTAAGAGGCTCCACAAAACCTCCATTCTCCCGATCAGAGACCTTGCTACTGGATGTAGTTTAGTGTCATACCCAGGACTAGTTTAACTTTTACAATAGTTCTTTCGCTCGTCCAATGTGTGTTCGGATCTCGGTATCGCATTTTCCATTCACCGTGAAAATACTTTCCCAGATATTTAAACTTCAACTGCTTGATGACGATATCTTTCTTTGTAATTAGCATCTTGGGCTTTTTTTCTTATTGAGGACCATACGTTCTGGCTTGAGGACATTAAAGTGAGTAGAAGAAAAGCTCCGACTTTGTAACATCGTCCGAATTGAGGGAGTGGTGAGACAACGATTGGGGTGAGTTTGTTTGACATACTAACTGACCCTTACCCACAGACGAAAAAACACGGCTCAATCTGAGGCCTGTCGTGTCTTCCTTTGTTTATTTAATATGATGCTTTGCTTTCATAGTTCTTTAACAGACTATCCAAATACTGACGTAAAACGCTGTTATGATGTCCTCTGAAAGGAAGCCGGCGAAAGAGATCTTCAGATCGATTTTCGAACGTGTCTACCCTCAAGTCAGACGACAGAACTATACAACGAGTTTTCTCATTGTTGATCTAGTGATCTCGTTTTGCAAGATGTTCAATAGTAAGTCAATATCTATCTATCTCACATATTGTTCATATCTATCTATCGCACATTGTTCATATCCATCTATCTATCTATCTATCTATCTATCTATCTATCTATTCTTTCTTTCTTTCGTTCTTTCTTTCTTTCTAGTAGTATTATTAGTAGTAGAAGTAGTAGTAGTAAAATAAAATTGTTCTCTTTTCAATACTCATTTATTATTCAATACTCATTTATTTTTCAAATTCAATCCTAAGCACATCTATCTATCTATCTATCTATCTATCTATCTATCTATCTATCACATTTCATATCTCTATCACACACTGTTCATATCCCTCTTTCTCTCTCTCTCTCTCTCTATATATATATATATATATATATATACATATATATATATATATATCACACTTCATATCACACTGTTCATATCTATCTATCTATCCATCTATCTATCTATCTATCTAAGTGATATAATTACAATTCATATTTAGTATGTCCACATTAGAAAAAAATAAAAATAAATATACAAAAGTCTTTATTGTTTAATCATTATTGTGATTTACTAAGGGTTGCTTAGATTTTGCAGTGAGGATCGAACTAACTACCCAGCTATAATTGTTTAATCATTATGATTGTGGTTACCACCGTTATATATATATATATATATATATATATATATATATATATATATATATATATATATTGTTTAATCATTATGATTTGGTTAACATCGTTATATATATATATAAATATATATATATATATATATATATAATTTTTTATAAAAAATTATAACATAAGTATGTTATAAGATCACTACTAAAATAGCCATTTTGTTTCAACACACTCTGTGTCTTATCAAGTGATGATGTTGAAAATAAAATAAATGGTTTTAAAAGTTTCAGATTAATTAACGATCCTACACTAGGGGGAAACATTGTTACAAAAGCTAGAATAACCAATCAAAAACGAAGTATAGAAAGATTCAAAAGCTTGACAACGAAATCCTGCTATAATAGCTATTCAGATCTTTAAATACGTGTAATATTAAAAATAATTTATACTAACTAATAATTATAAAATTACATGATAAAATTTAATATTAAAATTAAAAACTGGCAATTTTAAAATCCAAATTTAATCACTATTAAGTTTAAAAACTACAAAATTATTGAGAAAAGAAAAAATATATATGTTTATTCAATTCATTTCTTCAATGAAATTACGTTCGACAAGGACGCTACAATATATCCGGTCATTTGACAATGCATGTATATATATTTTTTTCTTTTTTTTTCCCTTTCATTTATTGAAATTATTAGATTTAAAAACAAGGTTGATCTCTTGAATCAAAGATATGAACTTACAGTAAATTGTAAACACCGTTATAAATTTAACTTAGTGTAGGGGTCGTATACTTTAAATGATAATGATATGTCGCTGTATTTTTAATAGATTAGTATTTTTATTGCATGATGGTCATACTTACGATATAAGTGTGTATTGTTTACCTGCATAGTTTTATTAGTGTTGGTGCAAATGTGTATATATTTATTTATGTGTTGGTTAGAGTATTGGCACTGAGGAATGTGTAGGTTGGTGTATGTGTATTTATTGTTTTTTTTTCTTTTCTATATATATATGTGTGGGTGTGTGTGTGGGGTGTGTGTGTATATATATATGTGAGTGTGTGTGTATATATATATATATTATGTGGGAAGGTATGGTAGATTATAAGAGAATAGGTTAATAATTGTTGCTGTATATGTGTATGTGTGTGCCTATATATGTATGTGTGTATGGGTGTGTGTATATGTATGTATTTGTGTGTGTATGTGTGTATATGTATGTATGTATGTATATATGTAAATATATATATGTATGTGTATATATATATATATATATGTGTGTGTGTGTGTGTGGTTGCATATATGTATATATGTATGCATATATATATGTATGTATGTGTGTATATGTATGTATGTGTGTGTATGTGTATATGTATAAATATGTATATGTATATGTATGATAAAATCACGGCAGTATAATGGTTGGCCAGCATGGTTCGCTAGATTGGGTGCGACTGAGTAATGAGTTAGTTCCTCACTGGGTGCCCCATAATTTCGGCTTTATGCCACTATATATTTGTATATATATATGTATGTGTGTGTGTATGTGTGTATGTATGTGTGTGTATATATATATATATGTGTGTGCATATATATATATCTGTATGTCCTATTTTATTGTGTATGTGTATTTATATTTAAGTATATTTCTGTTTGTATGAATGTGTTTATATATTTGCATGTATATTGCTGTGTGTTGGTATTTGAAGGTATATTTATGTATCTATATGTTAGTACGTTTATATATGTATTTGGTTGAGTGTTGTATTTTTATGTATGCATGTGTATATGGGTAGTTGTTATTGTAGATAGATATATTTTATATATGTTTATTTGTAGATATGTATGTATGTGTGTATATATATTTTTATGTTTTATGTATGTATATATATATATGTGTGTGTGTTGGCACCTATTATGTATGAGTTTGTTTGTGTGTATGTGGGGGTATGGAAACTTTGGCATATCATGACTGTTTTTTATATATGTAAGTATGTGTGCATAAAAGTCTGTGTGTATATATGTGTGTGTATTTAGGTTTATATGTATATGTGCGTGCATGTGTACTTGTTATCATAGATATGTATATGTGCGTATATGTTTATGTTTATATATTTATTTGTATGTATTTCTGTATGTATATGTATGTATGAGTGTATATTTATGTGTGTTAATTTGTTTTTGCTCCCGTGTATATATATATATATATATATGTATATAGTTGTGTGTTTCTTTATACTGTTTTTCTTTGCCTAATATATAATGAAACTATTATCAACTTATACGATTAATATATATTTTTATTGATATTTATGGTTTTAGAATTTTCGTTTTAATATATTAAATAATATTATTTTTAACCATTTTTATCTTTGTATATTTGCTCCCTTAAGTTATAATTCAATAGGTGGTTAGCATTTATTTAAGTCTGAAATATTTATTGGTTGTGATTTCTCATTGTCTATGTCATTGTCTGTGGATGTATGTATGTGTATCTATCGGTGTCTATGTGTATGTAGAGTGTATTCTCTGTGTGTGTGTATTAGTGTTAGTTTCCACGTCTCCTTCTTTCATAAAGGGCTGTAGAGATATTCATGTATTCCCCCCCCCACCTCCTCCTTTTTTTTTTTTTTTTTTTTAGTGTGTATGTATGTGTGTGTGTGTGTGTGTGTGTTTATGTGTGTATGTGTGTGTGTATATCTAATTATGTCTGGATGCTTATGTATTATAATCTGATTGTGTTTTTGTTGTTTTTTACGCGTGAGTTTTAAGACCACATTCACAAACTTTAAAAATAAAAAAAATGAAAGGAAAAAAAAAAAAAAAAATATATATACATGCATTGTCAAATGACCGGATATATTGTAGCGTCCTTGTCGAACGTAATTTCAATGAAGAAATGAATTGAATAAACATATATATTTTTTTCTTTTCTCAATAATTTTTGTAGTTTTTAAACTTAATAGTGATTAAATTTGGATTTTAAAATTGCCAGTTTTTAATTTTAATATTAAATTTTATCATGTAATTTTATAATTATTAGTTAGTATAAATTATTTTTAATATTACACGTATTTAAAGATCTGAATAGCTATTATAGCAGGATTTCGTTGTCAAGCTTTTTGAATCTTTCTATACTTCGTTTTTGATTGGTTATTCTAGCTTTTGTAACAATGTTTCCCCAGTGTAGGATCGTTAATTAATCTGAAACTTTTAAAACCATTTTATTTTATTTTCAACATCATCACTTGATAAGACACAGAGTGTGTTGAAACAAAATGGCTATTTTTGTAGTGATCTTATAACATACTTATGTTATAATTTTTTATAAAAAATAATTATATCTGCTCTACTTTGTATTGAGCACTCTTTTAAGAATAGTAATTGTTGGTTATTGGAATTCATTCCGTATATACCAATTATATACTTTGATATATATATATATATATATATATAACAAAAGTGAACATTGAAGTCAACACTCAGATGCGACAGGCTGTTTCATCCTAGACGCAATCGTCACGCCGCGAATGTTAGATTTTTCCTCGACTATTTATATATATGGGTCAGTGGTGTATTGTGGGTAATCTATTCTGGTGGTTATTTTTGCGGGAGCGGCTTCTTTAGTTATTTATTTGTTTGGGTTAAATTATTTTACTTGTTTTTTATTTTCATTTTGTACTATTTATTCCTTTCGGTTTTTGATGTTTATTAACGCAGTAAAAAAAATTAGATCGCTTATTTAATAGTTTGTTTTGGTCTGGGAAGATAATTAAAGCTATTTATTCGTCCAATGTTTAGATAGCTTGCCGTAGTCTATTCTGTTTTTATGGCAAGGGACAGTTTTTAATTAATTAATTTATTTGGATTGATTTTTTTAACTTGTTTTTGTTTGTTTATGCTTTTTTTTATTAGTTCTAACGGTTATTTTAGCGGGGGCGATTTGTTAATTTGTTCATTTATTTGGATTAATTTTTATTTGTTTTTATTTACTTATTTTTTATTTTGTATATTTTTATTTACTCTATTTGGCTTTCGATTTTTGAGTAACGTCGCTATTTTCACATCCAATTTCTGGATTGGTTAGTGTAGTCTATTCTAACGGTTATTTTGGCGGGATTGGTTTGTTAATTAATTTATTATTATTTGATTTATTTATATATTTGATTTGATTATTTTTACTTGATGTATTTTATTTTTTCGTCTATTCTTACGGGAGTCGTTTGTTGATTTGTTTATTATTTTTTGGGGTTAATCTATTTTACTTATTTTTATATTATTTTGTTTATTTGTATTTAATATGGCGTATCCAAATGTAAACAAATGACGTCACACATTATGACGATAATTATTTTAAGACATTTTATGTTTATACATTCTTTTTATAGATACAAATATTTAAGTAAATTCTCTTTGTTTACATTTGGATACGCCATGAGCAGATATGAATGTACGTGAGAGAATCATGGAAGATTGAAGTTTAAAGACAGTAAAATCGACTTTGGTAACCGAACGCTCCTCTGTGGCTTAATCGGTTAAATCACGTCAGGCTATATGACGGTTCCGTATAGGATACCGGTTCGATTCCTTTCGGAGCACGAATATTTTCTATGAAAATTTCTCAGACTGGTTGTTTAATACTGTTTATTATAAACAGAGCATTTACTTAAATATTTGTATCTATAAAAAGAATGTATAAACATAAAAATACCTTAAAATAATTGTCGGACTTTGTCCATTTCATAATATATATATATAATGGCCAACTATTTTGTTTCTTTGACAGGGCGGGTAGCAGATCCCTATTAAAGACATCCGCTCAACCCACAGCATCCACCCGGGGTCTATAATATGCTGCAAGTAGCTTAGTTATAGTTTCTGGAAGCGATCTCACCATCTGTCTTGCTGAGTTTAATTTTTAACAAAGCCTGCGTGCTCAAATTGCAAACATTTACACAGATGGAACATGTGGTGATACTCCATTTTGCTCGAGTGGTGGGGGATCATGTTTTCACGAGTGGACAGAAAGCCTCTGGTAGTTAAGGCTGTCGTTGAGAAAGACAGTGTGCTGTCAAATTTATTTAATATTTGCATAAGCTTGATCCCTTGATGTTCAAATCAGCCTCGCTCAAAACTTTGTATACTTGAAAAGCGAGACAGGCACTTGATCGTTCGGTCTAACGATTTGTTTCCCCCCCTGGGAGAAAAGGGTATACTGCATCGCTTCAGATTGTCTTTGAGATTGTCTTTGTAATGCAGCAGTGGCATTCCATCTGAACTGCTTGTTAGAAGATGGCTAAAGAGTCGTTGTTTTGGAAGTTTTCTATCGCTCATACAAGAAAGATGCCCTGAGTTAGATTTTCATTAGGATGGCTTTGATACCTGTCATGTTGCATTTAATCAGAACTTCAATGCTTCTAATCCGATCAATCAGTTTTCTGTTGCAGATTGTATGCAGGTAACGTGTGTTGAAGGCATCAAGTTGACTGATGTGTCGCCGGTACAAAGTCCAAGACTCCGTACTATCTATCTATCTATCTATCTATCTATCAGAAAAGCACGTATCAATTATCTATATGTATTTTTATGGAAATTAAGGGGGATTTGAATAATGATAATTAATTCATCGAGTCTAGAATCTAGAATAATCCTCAACAGAATGCAGGATGCACTGGATGGCCGTTTCGGGACTCATCAGCAGTGCGCATCCACCACCAAGAATCGAACCCGGACCGTTACGATATGACGCAACGGGTCTCGGTGACGGCGAGGTAAAAACGAGGCTCGATGTAGCGCCGCCCCTTCACAAATTCCGTCGTGTGACTCATCCGAGTCTACTTACAGCAACGAACTATGCGTCCCATGAGTCACGAATTCTATTCCCAAGGCGTTCCATCCAGAGCCTTAGAAGCCGGTTCAAGCAGTGATATATATATATATATATATATATATATATATATATATATATATATATATATCAAGTATGTGGTGCAGTTCAATTTACATTACATGAATCATTCATACAAAAAAAAAAAAAAAAACAGATATATGATCCCTGTTTATAAATTTCAGTTTTATAAGGTCATCATCATCATAAGGACATCGTCAGGTATGGAAATAGATTTGTTTTTCTTTTTTACATCCCGGTAATAGCAGGACAACGAAAATATAGATGTAATCCGAAATATGTTTTTAGAAATGTGTTATTGTTAATTGTAAGAAATTTTGGAGCGTGCAGTCGCAACGCTGAGGCTGAATTTTTAAATTTTTAAAGATTGTGCGTTTTTGTACTAATATGGTAAGAGGAGAATTCTTTTGTACTGAAATTGTTTTTGTAAAAAGACCTTATGCAACTGGAATTTATAAACAGGGATCATAACATTTATCTAAAGGGTCGGGGTTAATGTACTTTATTAAATTTGTTTGCAAAGATGTATTCTCGCCATTTACATCGTTAACTTCTATATCTGTTTTTTGTATGAATGATTCATGTAATATATATATATATATATATATATATATATATATAGAGAGAGAGAGAGAGAGAGAGAAATTAAGCGGGATTTGAATAATCATAATTAATTAATCGAGTCTAGAAGAATCCTCAACGGAATACAGATAGCACTGGACGGCCGTTTTAGTATTTTATTCGCATATTAAATATTTTATCCACACTTCAAAATAGCGTTGTCTGTGGAGATAGATGTTTTATTTAATGCAGCCTTTTCCTTTTGTAAAATAGTAGATGCACTCCATCACTATGTAGATGATTAATGATCTAAACATGCACGTTTGTAAAAACCGGTTTTGTATATTCGTACGTTCATCCTAATCGAAACTATTGATCTATGACAAAACGCTTCGGTTAGTTAACGATGTTTCTGTACTTATTGAATTATTTGACGTCAATGCATGTTTTGCAGAACAAAAACCACAATCAATCAATAAAAAGATAGACACATGTTCGGTTTACACTAGACTCCAAAAGGTAGACATATGAGGATCGGTTTATATTAGATTCCAAGGGTTAGATATATGTCCGGTTTACACTAGACTCCAAAAGGTAGACGTACGAGGATCGGTTTATATTAGATTCCAAGGGTTAGACATATGTCCGGTTTACACTAGACTCCAAAAGGTAGACGTACGAGGATCGGTTTATATTAGATTCGAAGGTTTAGACATAGGTCCGGTTTACACTAGACTCCAAAAGGTAGACATAAGAGGATCGGTTTATATTAGATTCCAAGGGTTAGATATATGTCCGGTTTACACTAGACTCCAAAAGGTAGACGTACGAGGATCGGTTTATATTAGATTCCAAGGGTTAGACATATGTCCGGTTTACACTAGACTCCAAAAGGTAGACATGCGAGGATCGGTTTATATTAGATTCGAAGGGTTAGACATATGTCCGATTTACACTAGACACCAAAAGGTAGACATACGAGGACCGGTTTATATTAGATTCGAAGGGTTAGACATATGTCCGGTTTACACTAGACTCCAAAAGGTAGACATGCGAGGATCGGTTTATATTAGATTCAAAGAGTTAGACATATGTCCGGTTTACACTAGACTCCAAAAGGTAGACATACGAGGACCGGTTTACATTAGATTCGAAGGGTTAGACATATGTCCGATTTACACTAGACACCAAAAGGTAGACATGCGAGGATCGGTTTATATTAGATTCGAAGAGTTAGACATAGGTCCGGTTTACACTAGACTCCAAAAGATAGACATGCGAGGACCGGTTTACATTAGATTCGAAGGGTTAGACATATGTCCGGTTTACACTAGACTCCAAAAGGTAGACATGCGAGGATCGGTTTACATTAGATTCGAAGAGTTAGACATATGTCCTGTTTACACTAGACTCCAAAATGTAGACATCCGAGGATCGGTTTACATTAGATTCGAAGGTTTAGACATATATCCGGTTTTCACTAGACTCCAAAAGGTAAACATACGAGGATCGGTTTATATTAGATTCGAAGAGTTAGACATATATCCGGTTTACACTAGACTCCAAAAGGTAGACATACGAGGATCGGTTTATATTAAATTCGAAGGGTTAGACATATGTCCGGTTTACACTAGACTCCAAAAGGTAGACATGCGAGGATCGGTTTATATTAGATTCGAAGGGTTAGACATATGTCCGATTTACACTAGACACCAAAAGGTAGACATACGAGGACCGGTATATATTAGATTCGAAGAGTTAGACATATGTCCGGTTTACACTAGACTCCAAAAGGTAGACATGCGAGGATCGGTTTATATTAGATTCGAAGGGTTAAACATATGTCCGATTTACACTAGACACCAAAAGGTAGACATACGAGGACCGGTTTATATTAGATTCGAAGGGTTAGACATATGTCCGGTTTACACTAGACTCCAAAAGTTAGACATGCGAGGATCGGTTTATATTAGATTCGAAGAGTTAGACATATGTCCGGTTTACACTAGACTCCAAAAGGTAGACATACGAGGACCGGTTTACATTAGATTCGAAGGGTTAGACATATGTCCGATTTACACTAGACACCAAAAGGTAGACATGCGAGGATCGGTTTATATTAGATTCGAAGGGTTAGACATATGTCCGGTTTACACTAGACTCCAAAAGGTAGACATACGAGGACCGGTTTATATTAGATTCGAAGGGTTAGACATAGGTCCGGTTTACACTAGACTCCAAAAGGTAGACATACGAGGACCGGTTTACATTAGATTCGAAGGGTTAGACATAGGTCCGGTTTACACTAGACTCTAAAAGGTAGACATACGAGGATCGGTTTATATTAGATTCGAAGAGTTAGACATATATCCGGTTTACACTAGACTCCAAAAGGTAGACATACGAGGATCGATTTATATTAGATTCCAAGGGTTAGACATAGGTCCGGTTTACACTGGACTCCAAAAGGTAGACATACGAGGACCGGTTTACATTAGATTCGAAGGGTTAGACATTGGTCCGGTTTTGATTAAACCCGAAAGATATACATAGGCCCGGTTTACATGAAAATCCGAAATGTAGACATAAGTTGACGCAAGAAAGACAAAATTTTAAAACAAAATTTCAAAGGCTCTAAAAAGGATAAACAAAATACAATTTAATAACAAAAAATCCTTTGATCTTTCCTATTAATAACATAAAGATTTTGACGATAATCCTTTGTTTTTAAAAAGTTTCAGGCATTTTTTCCTCACGTATACTCACTTTAGTGAATGTTTGGAGGATCCTATATATATATATATATATATATATATATATATATAGATAGAGAGAGAGAGAGAGAGAAAGAGAGAGAAAAAAAAAAATGACCTCAACATAGGGATAGTCTATTTGAAACCGTTCTTCCCAATGGCTATCATCAGCCTCTCAGTGCTTGTCTCGGAGCATTGTTCTAATTTTATTTTCGCAGTTAGTACTCCTTTCGTAGGTGTCTTGTTAATGAGAGTGGGTTTGCGTTAGCAATTGGTGGGGGCGTAATGTATCTTATCCCGGGGTAAGCGGTCTGGATTTGAAGTTCATGGTCAAGATTTGTTGTTTGTAGTTTAATATCATTTCCTATTATGTGGTGTTTTTTTTTTTTTGTTTTTTTTTTATAAAGGCCCTGGAGTGTGTGTTTCTGGGATTCACAGTAAATATTTTTTGTACTACATGTGTCCAATATTATTAATAAGTGATGGGGGATTTAATGTAAATTAGCTGAGTTCTAGATTTATAGAATATGGATAATACCAGAGCACCCAATGGAATAACTCATGCTCTCCAACACACTTATATGTGTACATATCTTCATACATACATATATGTGAACATTTACATGTTCATAAATATATGTCATTATACGTACACATATCCCCTCATATATGCACATGTTTCTCATGTTATTTGGAATTTATTTCTATGTCTACATTTCGGGATTAGTTCTCTTCGTTGATTTAATAGTTTGCATTGATCTTTATATTTTATTATCCTGATTTCTTCTTCTAAACATAGCTAAAACTATTGGGGTGTTGGCAATATTAATATAGTTAGGAGTTTCGTTCTCTTTATGGTAGGGTTTAAAGGTTTCATCTTTAAGGTTAAGGGTAATATCTAGGCAGTCAACTATTTTAATGTTAGAGAAAATCTCGATCTTAAACCCTAGGAATTTGAAGACCCTGATAATTTTCTTTTGTAATTTCACTGTTAGTAGAGCATTACTATTAGTGATGAGGATGAGTCTGTCGTCCTGATACAGCCCTGTTAGTTCCGGTTTTATGATTCTACTAAGCACATCTAAAATGTAAAAATATAATAGGTCTGCAACTTAGGCTGAGTCATAAGCTCCCATAGGGATATCGAATTCATCATTGTGGCGCTTAGTACAGGTGGAATTATTCAGTGCTAGTAGTGACTTTCTCACCGTTAAGATGATATTAGTTTCATCATCCGTTATTTCTATATAGTTCTTTACAGAGTTGATACTATTGACCAAGAGGTCACTAGTGATAGAGGAATAGAAGTTAACTTAATGAATGTCGCTTTATCCATAAAGATCCTTATGTTAGTATTATGGTCCGGTTCCTTGTACCATGGTGATAGTCCAAGGTAGAACCAATAAAGAAGAACTCGAATACGGTTATGGAATAACACAGATATGTTACAAACAGGAATATATACAGAGAGGTAGAAAAGTGTCAGTACGAACAATCAGGGTTAGTAGTAATTGTCTGAACGCGACTCTGTTTCGGACTGCCTCTGACTCGACTGACTGACTCCTGACGGACTTCTGACGGACCTCACTCCAGACTTCAGACGGAACTCTCTGCTTCCTTGAGGCGCAGTATTTATTACGTATGGAATAGTCCATTATGTTATGGGTAAGGTCCCATAACAGTTAGTGAACCATTTAATAGTGTCAGACGAATCCTTCCAAACGTTAGTACTGGTTGTGATTAGTAAATTGTCGGTTACTTTTTTTTAAATAATATTTTGTGAGATAAGGTCTAGTTCTGTTTTTGTTGGACTTATTAATCTAAATTTTGTACTGTCGGTGAAGTTTGAACTGACTTTGAAAATAAAGCTCCGAGACAACCACTTAGAGGTTGATGAGAGCCGTGTGAAGAACGGTTTGAAATAGAGTATATCCTTATGTTGAGGTAGTTTTTCTTTTTTTTTTCTCCGTTAAAGATTTGAACCGTTGTATCTTTATCTGCATGATTATAGATATTTTACTGGATTTCTCCGAGGTTCTTATAACACTATTCGACTTTACTTTGAATTATAAGAATCTATTTACTTTAAATTGTGACCTCATGATCCAGTTTTCCTTTCTACTGTTCTTTCTTTTTAAAACTTATTTCCCGTTCTTGAATGATTCTTGAATGGACTTTGAAGATGGAAGCCAGTGTATGAATATTGGTACCATTACTGAAGGCCAGAATGTTCTTTTCAGTTGGGAAGACAAAGTCCGGCTGACACAAAATGATTTCATCCTGTTCTTTTCTAGATAAATAACTCAAAGGGATTTTCAGTGATTCTTACGAGAAATTGTGTCAAGATGGCTAAATGTCTGATCTGAAAACCTGCTAAAAGGAAACTAAGTTGGTTTAGTGTTTTTTTAGATATTAAACATTTTGTGGGATGGACAAATATCCCATGTTGTTACACGATTTGGACAATTTTTCTGTTACACCCGGTATGTGTGTATATATATATATATATATATATATATTGACGATTCCTAGCATGAAACAGCCTGTCGCCTCTGAGTGTTGACTTCAATGTTCACTTATATATATATATATATATATATATATATATATATATATATATATATATATATATATATATTACATGAATCCTTCATACAAAAAGTAGATTAGTAACGTTAATGATAGAAATGGCGAAAAACATCTTCGCAAACAAATTTATTAAAGTTACATTAACCTACGAACCACTCGATGATTGATATGATCCTTGTTTTTAATAACTTCAAATTGTATAAGGTCTTTTTTTTATTCTGCTAGTACTTTAAGCTTTACTTGCAGCCATCCTTAGGCAAGGAAATTAATTTGTTTTTTAGTAAATACGGGTAGTAGAGGGACACGAAAGATTAAATGCGAATCGAAATATGTTTTTTTTTTAGAAATGTGTTATTGTTAACGGATATGGAATTTTGGAGCGTGCAGTCGCAACGCGAAGATTCATTTTTTTATTTTGAAATTTTAAGGGAGTGTGTTTTTTTATTAATATGATAATTTGAGAACTTTTTGTTGTGGGTTTTTCTCAGTCAGTGTGGCATGAAATAAATTGTTCAATAAATAGAGTAATGTCACAGCTGTTATCCCGAAAATATGCACGACGGATCTTTTTTAAATCAAATATGTGGTGCAGTTCAATTTATATTACATGAATCATTTAAGTTTCATTAAAGACGACTAAGAAGTTACTGCGATAGGTTTATTTCATTCTTTTTTGTGTTCATATCAGTGTTTTTCTTTCGAAACTGTTTTCTTTCAATCTCAAGAGAGCTCACGAGAATTCATCCTCTCGCCACTCTTTTCTTGAATAACTCAATAATGTGAAACAGACGCTAGTTAACAACGGTTTTCTGAAGTGTCTCATCGATAAACTGTTGAAACTTGACTAATGCATGGAATAATAATGCAACACAAAATGTACTTTGAACAAAATGTATTGAAACAAGAAAGTGTACACAATATCTACATATAGTCTTTTGTATATTCCTGGTAAGACCGTTCCTGGAGAATGTCTTGACTGAGTCGCAGTCGGGCAGAGTCTCTGGTTGAATATTCCTTCCTCTCTTCCCGGTACCAACCATATTTATATGGTCGGTACTCCACTATGCAAATTAGGTGGATCCTACCACAACATAAACACATTAGACTATTTCTTTCCAAGGTAAGCAATAGCAACACGGAACATACATATAAAATAATAACATTAATATTTTCTGTAAAAGCCAAATATACATTAACTACAATCAAGATGAATTTTCACCTAGAAACATTATAAAGAAATACATAACCCTAGAACAATAAAATTAAATTATATATTATAACAAAATTTAAAACAGATAATCTTATCAGTAACATCAAAAACTCACCTGCATCATTTAAATTACAGAGAATTATCAATTTACATGTCCGCTAAGGAACTGGGTTTCCGGCCGAACCAATTTCATGAATTATTTTATTGGACATACTACTACATGCGCATCAAAAATCAAATATGTAACTTAACTGTTATGGAGGATGGCGGTGTGTCTAAAGGATAACAGGGTTTTTTTTTCTTATTTTAGATTGTTTTTAACCGGCTTCATATTCACTTAATAAAAATTGCTTTATATAAGGGCGAGGACTTAGAATTTCTGTTTTTTGTTTTAAAAAATCTTTTAAACCAAAAATCTTTGAATTGAATTAAAAAAATATATCTTTGGTTATCGCAATGCTAGCACAGTTAAATATAATGTTATTCTGGGATTACAGTTTTTAAAATGATATTTAGCAATTAAAATAACTGGGATTTACATATATAAAAGATTTTTTATTTATCTACTTATCATATATATATATATATATATATATATATATATATATATAATGTATTCATATATATATATATATATATAATGTATTCATATATATATATATATATATATATATATATATATATATATATGAATGAATCAGTCATACAAAAACAAATATAAGGTTAATAATTTAAATGAATGAGAATACATCCCTGCAAACAATTTCAATAAGTCTGGGGTAGTACACTAACTTATTGAAATTGTATATGAAGATGTATTCTCGCCATTTAAATTATTAAGGTTCTATATTTGTTTTTTGTATGAATGATTCATGTAATTACACGTTGAACAACACCTATAATCGAAATGTATATATATATATATATATATATATATATAGAGAGAGAGAGAGAGAGAGAGAGAGAGAGAGAGAGAGAAAGCGAGAGATGATAAAAATAGAGTTATGGTATATTTAGAGGGTAAAAGGACTCAGTATCAGAAATAGAATGTATGTAAGTATAAAAGTATCCAACCCATCTTTCAACAAAAACATGAAAACTAAAGTAGGAAACATATTCATTAAACTCATATGCAAACACTTCCTCTACATCAAACAATCTCCACAAGATAATCAATAGCAAAACAATAAAATCATAAAAAATGACAACAGAAAACATAACCAACAATCCACCTGCACAAACCTAACACACATGTAACTAGAACGAAAGTCTATTAAATGACAATTGTCTGAAAAACATATTATACCTAGCCACTGTATGATCAGCAGATAACAATGAAAGAATATACATGGAATAACAGTAGGATCCTAAAAACAGAGAAAAAAGCAAAACATCCTTTGCAAATAGTAAATACGTAAATAGCACAATGCTTTCTAAACATATATGGGAATTTCGAAAAATGAGTAAAACAGCATCCGCCTGCAACAATAAATTATGAACTTTGCAGGAAAAAAAAATGGCTATAATAACCTTCCCAGAGTAACACAAATCTCTCTATATATAAAGTTGTAGCCGATGTCTGCTTGTTATCGAAGTCCTCATCGGGTTTTGGAGATAGAGAAACATAACCATATATATTCTGAAATTACCTAGGTTACTTGGATAAGTTTCATTTCGATCAAAGTGGGTCACCGGGGCCAAAACCACCGATTGAAATTTTTTTCCTTTAGATTTAAATTAAATTTAAATTTGAATGAGGGAATGACTCCTACGGTACTTGAATAAGTATATTTCATCTTGATCAAACGGTTCCCCGGAGCCACAAAACCTCCACTGAAATTTTTTCCCTTTTATTTAAATTAAATTTAAATTTGAAAAAGGGAATGACTCCTATCCAAAATACGGAAGAAGAAAGCCAAATGATGGAGGTTACATTGGAAAGCTCAAAAGGAAACAATATGGACGTCAAGTTGAGCAAGAAATCACTAATCAGTGGGTATTGCCTTACAATACATATTTGTTGCGAAAATTCAAATGTCATATCAATGTTGAAATGTCTTCATCAATTCATTCAATCAGGTACTGCATGAAATACATATTAAAATGGTCAGATCAGCTGTTTTTCCATAAATCCTCCACAGAAATTCTTTCCCTTTGATTTGAATTAAGTTTAAATTTGAAGAAGCGAATGACTTCTATCCAAAATATAGAAGGAGAAAACCAGAAGATGGAGGTCACATCGGCAAGAGCATTGAGTATATTTGAAATGCATCATTTTTCTCCACAAAGTATATCAAGGATTTAAAATCAATTATCATTTTCTTTAAAAAGGTGTGTGACACGCGGCAAGGCGCGGGTAATTTGGCTCGTTACTTAATAAACGGTCAGATCTCCTACTCATATCTATCTATCTATCTATCTATCTATCTATCTCGGACTCCTCATATAAGAAAAATCCCTGAAGATATTACCGCATTAAAAAAAAAAAAAAAAATCAAACGTGACCACACAGAAACTTCGTCCTGTATTTTTACTAAAAATAATTCAATAAAACTTAAAAAAATAATTCAGAATTAGTACTGGCATAAATTAACAAACCATATCATTTTCTTAAAAAAGACACCACTTAATATTTATTTAAAAAAAGAGTACTTGTAATTTTTCATGACATTTTTGGACTTCGTCACAAGAGTGTCTTTAATTAAATCAAGACATGTTTGAAGATACAAAAAATTAAAAAGTTTAATGCTATTGTTAAAAAGAATTTTATTTTATTTTTTTCCTTCTAGTAACGATTATATTCTTTTATATGGATGTACAAAAAAGACATCATTCTGATATCTCGCTTTTACTGACTACTACTCAATATCAGAACATTAATCTAATCTCCCTTTCGTCACTTTTTGTGTCTTGAAAGTGTTTTTTTTTTCGATCCATCAGAACGGTGTTTTTTTTTTTTGCATGTCCCTATTTATCTGAATTTATTTACAGATTCTTACATCAAAGAATCGAATGAGTCACTCAATGATACACGAATCTGCCACGTACAGGTCCTGTCCACTAACAAGTGAAGGTGGTTTACACTGACGCCATACAGACACCGTTAAATACATTCTCCATGATTATTATGATTTTAAATAATATCAGAGGTTGAAGCCTTTATTATAATTACCAAGTATTTTCCAACAATACGACGTACGTGTATAGTAAAATTAAGAATATAAAATTAAACAAAAAATTCTCAAAAATAGACTAGCTTATTTATCATTGGTTCTCACGAAACACCTAGCGTCATCTTGCGGAAGCCTAACGTTCCGGTGAACACTGGTTGAAAAACATTAGACTCTAGTCTATAATTCACATATCTGTTAATAAATTCGATTTAACTATTTATCCACTTGTTGAACGGATAACGTCTGCGAAAATTAAAGTCAGAAAAATACATTCTTGAACATTTTATTTTATTTCTTTACAATTAATGGCCATTTTAATTACAAAGACTGTTTGCCTTAAATGTGATATCATTTAGAAATATCACTCAATGATACACGAATCCGCCATGTTCAGGTTCTGGTCATTAACCAGTGAAGGCGATTTCATACTGACGCCATATACACATCGTTAAATAATTCCCTATGATTATTATGATTTTAAATAATATCAGAGGTTGAAGTCTTTATTATAATAACCAAAGATATTCCTACAATATGCCGTGCATGTATAGCAAAGTTACGAATATAAAATTAGAACAAACATTACACAAAAAATGCATTAGCTTATTTTTCACTGTTTCTCGCGTAATCGATTAGGGTTCTGCGGAATAGCGTTTAAGAAACACTAGAAAATTGAGTTTTGTTGTCATATCTGGGCTGGAGCTGGCCAGGCATCACTTCCTTGTCT